TGGAGCACTGGGTGTTATGCACAAACAATGAATCATGGAACACTTCATCTAAAACTAATGATGTAATGTATGGGGATTAACATAAGAATAAAAATAAATAAATAAATATCAGGGAAAAAAAAATTGTGGACACTGAAGCTCAGGTGAGCTTCCTGGAGAAGGAATGTACCAGGAGGGTGATGCATCCTGAAGACACAGAAGCTTCGCATTTGCGACCCTCCTATTTGTCTCTTCATTTGGTTGTTCCCAATTTATAATAAAGCTATAATCATAAGTATAGCACTTGCCTGAGTTTTGTGAGTCTTTCTAGCAAATCACGAAACTTGGGGGGATAGTGGGAATACCCATATTTGTAGCCAAGTGGTTAGAAATCAAGATGGCCTGGGACCCCAGAGCCTGTGGCTAGTGTCGGAAATGAGGTCAGTCTTAGGAAGGATGATGTCCTTAACCTATGGAGTATGCACTAACTCCAGGTAGTTAGTGTCAGTGCTGCATTGCAGCTAGGCCTTCAACTTATTTTCACACTAAGGGGCTATGGGGAGACATAGTTTCATAACCCAAATTGGTGACTAATTATGTGGGGAGGGGGGCTGATGACATCATCACAGATCCAAAGAGTAAATATTTGGGATTTAGGGGTGTAGTAGGCAGAATTCTGTGATGATCCCCAATATTCCTGTCCCCTGGTGTCCACACCCAGTGTAATCCTCTGCCCCTGAACATAAGGCAGTGCTGTGAATATAAAGGATTTCACTCCTGTGATTAAGTTATGATATGCACTTGACCCTTGAACAACATAGGGATTAGGGGCACTAACCACTTCCACACAGTGGAAAATCAACACATAACTTTTGTCTTCCCAAAAACTTAACTACTAACAGCCTACTGTTGACTTGAAGCCTGACCAATAATATAAGCAGTCAATTAACACATATTTTGTGTTATATGTATTATATACTTTATTCTTACAATAAGCTAGAGAAAAGAAAATGTTAAGAAATCACAAAGAAGAAAAAATGCATTTATAGTGCTATAATGTATTTGTTGAAAAAAAAATTGTGCTTATAAGTGAATCCACACAGTTCAGACCCATGTTGTTCAAGGGTCAACTCTATAACATCACAATTTCAGCCTTTTGAGACCCCGAATAGAGAACCCAGGTGAGCCGTGCCCAAACTTCTGAGCTATAAGACATCATGCGATGATGAATTCATGTTGTTTTAGGCCGCTAAGTTTGTGGCAATTAGTTATGAAGTAATATGCAGAGAAAACTATGTGTGATGGAGATAGGAGGGTATCAAACAAATGTTGCCAATATCAAAGATGATCCAGTTGGCAGAGAGAAATGGTTTGAAAGGAAAGCAATCAGAATTTGGGAGAGACATGAAACCATATTCTAAGATGGAAACTTAAAAAAAAAAAAAAAACTCTTGGGCCAGAGAGAAGATGTTTGGCCTCAAAAGAAGAAGCTTGATTTGTGTCTTCAAAAACTGGATGAGCTGTCCTGTGTCAGGGTTATGAGACATGCCCAAGTAGCAGGAAGCACAAGATGGATGTGATCTCAATATACAGAAGAAGGCTCAAATACCCCCAAGATACCTAACAATGGAAAGGGCTGCCTTTATTATTTAGACTTCTAATTCAGTCCAAATTCCTAATTCATTCCAAGTACACAACATACTATTGAATTAAATTAGAAATAAGAGGAGAAATCAAGGCAAACAGGTGGAGGCTAGAAAATGAATAGATGAAGAGCTACCAGCCATAGGCAATGGGTTGGATTAAAAGCTCCCCAAGCCCTCAGTCTCTGTGATTCTACATTTAAATACCACTTCAAAGAGTCGGTACCACTTTAGTTGACTGACACTGGGATGTGAGGGTGAATTGAGATGGTATTGGGCCAAGGACAAAGTGACACCTGAATCCTGCCCTCACAAGTTTCCCAGAGAACAAGCATAAACTAAGGGAAAGGAAGATATAGCACACTGCAGGTCTTTAGCCCCAAACCTCAGGGTAGAATTCTAACAGGTATGACTGCATCTTACAGAATATTCCCTTTACTTAAGCAGGAGTTTCCTGATAGCCTGAGGCCAAAGCACTCTAAAGACCTACTATGATTATTTCACCCCCAAAACAAAAGCCCGAGTATTGAACATCACTACCTCTATTTTGAAAAAAGACTATTTCCGCCAGGGAAAAGCAGAAGAGAGCAAAAGAGACCAAAGCAAATTAGGAAAAGGAACCCAGTGCTCAGAGGAGGCTGACCTAGGCCACCCATTCCAGGCCTTTCTTCATCCCGAGAGCCAAACAGTTTGGACCACTTGTCATTCTGGGGTGGCCCTCAACTGTCACTATGGAAATTTTCCTCACCTCTCTGCAAGGTTAGATTTTCCATTTCCTGACTTCATGTCATCATCTTGCTTGCTTGTTTTGTTCATTTAGTTGGAGCACATCCTCCAATAGTTTTCTGAGAAAAGGTAATAGAGGTTAATTTTAAACCTTGTATAGTTGAAATAGTCTTTCTTCCTCCTTGACTGATGTTTTCCTCAGTATGGATTTCTAAAATGGATACATTTTTCTCAGAATATGAAAGTATTGCTCCATTGTCTACTACTTTCCTATATTTCTCTTGAGAAGTCTGAAGTCATTCTGATTATTGTACATGGTCTGTTTTTTCTCTGTGCTTTGGTGTGGTTTTTCCTATTCTTAGCCCTTGATACCTTCTCAGTGGGCCCCTTCAATATGGAAATTCATGTCTTTCTAAAATTTCTTCCTTGTATCATTTCTGTCAATACTCTGTTCTCACACAGGCTGGGCAGAGCCCCCTCACAAGTGATGGCAAACATTGTAAGCTACTGACTTGCATAGTTACATAGTTCTGAATGGTATCGAGGGCATCAGGGGAGGGAGCACTGCTTTTCCCAGCCCTGATTCCAGGAAATCAGGGCCTTCTTTTCCAGAGCATGGCCTGAGTAGAAAAAGTATGCTAATTTCTTAACCCCAAAACTGTCCAAAGTCATTGGGAAAGCATCAGCTGTGCAGTACTCAGAATCACTCTCTCATCTCACAGCCCATCTGACAGAATTTACCAATTTGACTGATATTTCTTCTGGCAAATTTTTTTAAGATTTTATTTATTTACTTGACAGAGAGAGAGAGGGAGCAAGCACAAGCAGGGGGAATGGCAGGCAGGGGAGAAGCAGGCTCCCCTCTGAGCAAGGAGCCCGATGTGAGGCTCAATCCCAGGACCCTGGGATCATGACCTGAGCCAAAGACAGCCGCTTAACCAACTGAGCCACCCAGGTGCCCCTCTTCTGGCAAATCTTGATGCCTGTCCTCCAAATTCCTCTCTCTATAAGATAAAATTCCTATCTGCATATACTTCTTACCCAATTTCTATCATAAAGAATTTTTCCCTCAATTTTCTCTGTTATTTCTGAAACTTGTATTAGCTGGATATTGGATTTCATGGATTGATTATTTCTTCCCTATTTCTTGTGTCTGTCTTTCCGTACTTCTGTCTGGGAGATTTCCGAAACTTATCTCCTAACACTTGTATGGAATTTTTTTTAATTCCTGCTATCATATTTTTATATGATAATAGTTATTTTTCTCAAATAACTATTTGTTATTCTATTTTTCCTTTACAGAGCAGCCTCTTCTTGTCTGGAGAAGAAATACTTTATTTAAATAGTGGGGTTCTAAGTTTTCTTTTGCTTCCTATTCTATCTTTGTACCCTTTCTTTTTCCTATGGTTTTTGTTTGCTTTTGTTTTGATTTCTTGCTATTGTTTTTTTCTCTTGTTCATGTAAGAAGCATTCTTCAAATGCCTGGTGGCTTTCAGCTGCTCATAATCCAGCCTCAGACACTCAGAAGCTGATTGTAAGCATGGCATGGAAGATGCAAAGCTTACCAGCTAAGCAGTGACAAATATCCCACTGGCTTTGTCTTTACTCAAGAGTAAGGAGCTTTGTTTTTCTTCAATGCACCTTGCACATAAGAACTACTGGCCCAAAGATTACTTCTCTCTCTGTACATCCAATTACAGGCTGGAACTCTTTGTACAGTCTGTCTACACTGTGGTAGGAATAGCTGTCTAAGTTCCTCTGGTTTGGACAGGCACAAGACAGCTGCTAGTTTATATGTGACATGAAAAAGATGTATGTTCCATAAGCTTCGCCTTGGCTGACCATCTCTATACGGAAAAGTGATTCAGGTTCTTTACATAACTAAACCTCTCTCTGTGCTGCTCCCTCCTGCCCTCTCAAATTTCAGCCTGTTGAACTATTTCATACATGGTAAATACCATTAGGAGAGCTGACCATCAGCCACAAGACTGCACAAGCCATTTCTCTGATCCTCACAAGAATCCTCCCCAAGAACATCAGTGACCCCATCTTTAGAGAAAGATATTGAGACCTTGACTTGGGTCTGACACCAAAGCCTAGTTTTGTACCATAACTGGCCCTCACTGTACCCTATGGAATTTACTTTCATTCTACAAAGAGAATGTGGTTTCCAGGGGGAAGGAGTACCATCATTCCATGTGGAACTGCTAGGCAGGGTGGTAAGAGCACAGAGGGCAGACCTCAGAAGATGCTGCTTCTCCTGGTTGGCTGTCTCTTGCCTGCCATCAATGGGAAGAGCTGCCTCCACTGCTGGCCACAACTGCCTGCATTGATAGACTATGACCTGCAGATTCTTTGGGGCTCTCCAGGGCCACCCAGAGAGCTCTCCCAAAGCCTCCACTCCCTATTCTTGAAAAGGGATTATGTCTTCTTAGAACCTTGGTATCTTGGTGAGGCACAGCCTAGACCCCAGGGATCAAGGCTGGCCCCTTTTACCTGGCCTGGGATCTTATACCCACCAACTGCCCTTCATCCCACATCCCATTCTCAGATCATGACCATATGGAGGAAGCAACAGCCAAATTATTCAATCACGTAGATGAAGCCATCAAGAAGTTTCGAGATGGTGAGGAAGTCCCCAGGCTTGTGTTGACAAAACCCACCCCCCCAAGGCACTCCTAGAGGGCCTGCTGGCCTGGGGTGGGGATGTGTGGTGAAGAGTGGTGACAGACCCAGCATCTGTGTGCTCTACGCAGTTTCTGTTTAAAAAAACTGGCTTGAATTCTCAATCTTGAGTTATGTAATTGTTTCCACCTATAAAATGTGGATGATGAGGGCACCCTTCTCTTCCTCCTGCATTCAGATAAACCATCACTTCTGAAAGAGATTAATGTCCAGAAACAGGTGTTTACTGACAGGCTGAATCAGATGTCTGAGAAGCTGAAGGAGAAGGGTGAGAGGTGGAGCTGGCCCCTGCCCACCACCCAGCCCTTCACCTCCCCCAGGACTGAGAAGAGCAAAGCCCAGTCTGCAGCCCCTCCCATGTCCCTCCCCAGGAATCCCCACACTTGCCCACATATTGGGTGCCTGTCCACATCTTCTCTCAGTTCCCTTTCTTGATGATACCCCAACCCTTCCTGGCTCTGTCTGCCTCCCCTAGCACCTCAGTTTCTCTACCATCTCACCCTCCTGGGCAGCCTGCAATAAGTCCTGTGGTGAGTATGTATGGGGACTTGAGAGGGGGCAGGGGGAGGGATGAGAGGTGAGAGGCACATGGCCTTGGCTAAGGCTCCTGCCCATCCCCTCTCACAGACATACACTCCACACTGGAGGTCATCAATTGTGCCAACTGCAAGACACACCTTCTTACCTGCAAAGACCCGACTCTCTGCCCAGGTCAGTGGCCGCCAGCCATCCTGCCTCCAACCTGCCCCCACTCCATCCTGGGTCATTGTTGTCTCTGTCTGGATTGTCTTCCTCCTCTGCCCAGCCCCAAGCTCTTCTTGCTCCCCATCCTCACCAGAGAACATAACAACTCCTGGGATTTCTTGGTGTCTCATGTCCAACTTCAGAGCCATAAAGCCACCTGCCTCTAGGACAACTCCCCTGGAGGTCCCTTGGGTCCTCAAAGCGAGCATGCTTGGAAACATATTCAAACCCAACTCCCTCCACCCCCAATGTGCTCTTCCCTCATGGCCCCTCTCAGCAAATGGCCCCACACAAGCCCTAAACCAAACCAAGAACTTTCCTCCCCCATATTCAATACATGCAATCATCAAATCTTGTTAATTAATTCTTAAATGTGTTGCCATATTTTCATTGCAATATCCACCACCATTCTTCAGGCATCCTCACTTCTCACCTGGATTATGCCAGCATCTCTCAACTGGCCTCCCTTCCCCTCTTGACCACATCTTACTCAACAACCAAAGAACTTTCTCAAGGAGCAAATCCCCCTATGACACTCCCTGTTGTAGCCCACTTGCCCCCCAGATAAAATCCACCTCTTCAGAAACCCTTGTGTGAATAGCCCCTGCTCACCTCCCACCACCCCTGACTCCTCCCCAGCCACACTGAGCTGCTGACATGCTGTACATACAGATGACTTCATGCTTCTGTCCTTGAACATTCTGTGTTCTCTGCCTGGAGCACAGTTTTGTACTTAACCATGGGACCAAAACTGAACTCCTACTTGTTTTTCAAAGTCCAGCCAGAAATCCTATTTCCTAAGAAGGTTTCCCTGACAAGCTCCCACCCCCTGAGGCTCATCGGCCTTCCTCGTGGCTACTTTTCTTCTGCTCTGTCCTCCTCTGCTTCCCTTGGACACCACACCATAATTGTTTGTTTCTCTACCTCATAGAGAAGAGAGACCATGTCTCACTTATCTCTAAATAATATGCCAGGTACACAGTAGGTGTTCAGTAAGTGTTTGCAAACAAATGAGTGAGTGGACAAATAAAAGGAGGAAAGAATGTAGCTTCTTTGGGCCCAGATGGCCTTCATTGCCCCCCAAACACCTGGCTCCCCTTTTTACACCCCCCAGCCAGGACCCGGAGTACCTTCACGTGGGTTGTGAGCCTTGGCATTATTCTGCTTCTGGCCGCCATAGCTGGAAGTGGGTGAGTGACTCTCAAGCCCTAGCATCCCCAGAGAAGACAAACCTACTCCTTGACTGACCCATCTCCACCCTGTTTCCTGGCCCAGATGGTACATTTTCTGCCACAAGAAGAGGAGGAGGGAAGCAGAAAATGAGCTGGGAATGGAGACCCCTGACAGAATGTAGGTCTCCCAAGGAGGGAAAGCTGGGGGTAGCAAAGCTAGAAGCCCTAACTCTGGCTCCCAGGGTGTGACATCCAGAGCAGAGTGGGATCAAGGCTGGGGCTCGGGAAGCTCCATCCCCCCTTAATGTGAGTACACACCCAGGGCCAGGGGCCCAGGACACAGTGACAGCAAATCTCCACAAGGTGCCCTCCACCTATAGCTATCCTTGTCCTTCTGCAGACCCACTCCCCACCATGGGCCACTGCACTCGCTGACATATACAGGCAATCAACATGGCCCTCCTGCTCTCTGCTCCTGGTTAGGTTCAGCCAGTAGGAGTTCAGAGAGACAGAGGTAAGGGCATGCAGAAGGTCAGGGTGGAAATGCCCTGCTTCTTCTCTCAGCAGGAACCGGGCAGTCCACTGGTCTGAATCGAGATCGCAGTTGCTGTCAGGAGGCTCCCTCATCTCTGAGTTCCAGTAACTGTCCCTTCCTTGACACCCTCCGACCTGGGGTGGTAGCAGTTCTGTGGCCCAAGACACCACACTCTGTCTTGTGGTTTCCCTATGCCCATGCCTTGTAAATACCTTCATTAAAATATCTTCCTACTATTCTGATGGACTGTAGCATCTGCTTCCTGAGGGGCCTGGACAGACGCAGCTGGCACTGAGATCCTCTCCATAAGGCCCTAAAGGGGCTTGTTCCCTCTTCTCACCCTCCCTCTGCTGGCCCACCACCCTTCCCCTCCTGAAACACCCCCTCTCCTACAGCTCTGGTCCCAAGAGTGGTAACTCCACAGGCTCAGTCCAACCTCATCTAATTTCAGCACCAGAAATGAAGGCAGAGATGACCTGGGTCCTTGTGTCTGGTATTGAACAGAGGCAGTAAGAGGCCAGCTCATGGCTCAGGGACTAGCAGAAGAACAGGCTTCAGAAAACAGGCTCCAAGTCACATTAACATCAAACCTCCCCTACATCTTGGCCAAGATACCCACCCTGGGAACACCCAGGTCCCCAGTGGATCTGGTGCTGCTAGCAATGATGTTTCCCTGACTCTGCCTGTGGTAGTGGGGCAGAGGGGCGCAGAAGGAAGGGGCTTTGCCTCCTTCTCCTCCATCCCCATGTCCCTTTCCTTGTCTGCCCCAAGGCTGCCAGATTAAATGGAACCTCTGAGTCCTCCAGGCACAGCTCTGCCCTTTCCCCTCAACCTTGTGCCCTTCCTCACTGGTGCTCCCAGCCTCTTGTCCTTGGCTCAGGCTCTACTCTGAGATTAAATGGGACCTATCTGGCAACTTTGAAGCCACTGCCAGGCCCAGAGCCCTCGCCAGCAGGTCAACTCCTGGGTGCTGAAAGGAAGCAGGTCTGGGACCAGAGCTAAGGATAACGACCCAGAACCTGGACTCGAGTCCTGTCTCTGATGCTAAGATTCTGGGGTCCCCCTTCTACATCTGTTCCCCCATCTGAGCATGCAGAGAGGATGTCATACTTCAGCCAGGTTGGTGTGTCCTGACCATGGAGCCCACTGGATTCATATTTGCCATCCTACATTTGCTCATGTTTTGGGTCAAAATGTAATGCCCTCATCCTTTTCCCTCACTCCCAGTCTATTGAAATCCTGCCAGGACCCACAGCCCAGCTCCTGAAACAAGCTGTCTTGTCTCCATAGGCCTTGCTGGTGCCCCTCTTCCAGAGCTAGCGCCCAGGCTGGAAGTGACCTGACTCCAGTAGCACCACCCCACCATAAGGGCCACTCCTTTGGCGGGAGTGGGGGGACTGCAAGAGACCGAGGCAAGATGTATATAGACCATAAATGGCAACCAGGACAGGCAGCCCGACAGCTGAGAGTAGCTGTGGGTCCCCAGCCATAGGCATCTCCAGCCCCCAGCCAGGGGGATCCAGAAAGGCCCCCCCTAAGGTGGTGTCTTCAATTATGAGAAGCCATGGAAGGTGGGAAGGGAAGGAAAAGTACTTTCACTGAGAGTTCGGTGTTGCAGAGGAGCAGAGGTATGAGAGGCTTTGATAAGTTCAGACAACTCCAAGAAATGTGATATGGTTGAAAGGAGAGGTCCAGGTAAGAGGGCCATGAGAGGTGGGGCCCACAGAGGCACCCAGGCCCAAAGGGAGCTAAAACAGGTGAGCAGGGAGGGCTAGGGGGAAGTAGTGGAGGGCTTTGCCAGTGGCAGGTCTGAGTCCTAGGGAGAGGACAAGGATCCAGAGAGGTGAAGGGGAGCTGTGCCGAGGTATATGTGGCTCCACATGCTAGGAGCTGAGATGTCCCCTCCATCAACTCCACAGACCCTCCTTGCTCACAAAGCTGAGAAAGGGTCCATAGAGTAAGGCTTTTGGAGAAAGCATTAAGACATAGCTACAGCCAAATGGTGAGGGCGTCCTCATAACCATTCTGAATGACTGAGCCAGAGCCCCAGGCAGTAGTAATGGACCTCCAGGAAACTGTGATTCTGTGTCTATGAAAGCTGGTTGCCACCTAGGACAGGGGAAAAGCCAGGCTTTCATTGCGGTGATATTGTTTTCCTATTTATATTTAAATTGGGATTTAAACCATTACTTCAAAAGTATCCAGAGCAACTATTTTCTGATGCATGCATTGAAAATAGAAAATCCTGGGTATAATTTATGAGTTTGTGTGTCTGTATGTGTATATCTCTTATCAACAGATTTTTTTTTATTATTTGAGGGCATATTTGCATGAAAAGTAGATATTGAGTTCTGCTGGAGTAGAAAGATTAAGGAATTTTGAGTCAGGTAAATCTTGGTCAAAATATAAGCTCTGGAGGACTTTTTGCTTCCAGCTATGACAGAGCAGCTTACAGCACACCAACACTATCATCAAGAGCAACTAAAAATAAAATACATCAAAAGAGCAAAACAAAACAAAAAGTCTGTTTAAGGCACCAGGTCCCTAATGCATCCAAGTCCCCAGGGGGAAGTAGAGCTCTCTGTGGTGAGCCCTTGTCCTGCAATGAGCTTCCCCTTGGCACTGCTGGGCTTCAGCAGCACAGGCTGAGAGGCTTCGGGGGCTGTCCTGCAGATGCCTGCAAAGTGTGGAGAAGCCAACGGAGCTTTTTATTTTTTTTAATTTTATTTTATTATGTTATGTTAGTCACCATACAGCACAGCAAAGGAAACAGTCAACAAAACAAAGAGGCAACCCACGGAATGGGAGAAGATTTTTGCAAATGACACTACAAAGGGCTGATATCCAAGATCTATAAAAAACTTCTCAAACTCAACACCCAAAAAAACAAAAAATCAAGTCAATAAATGGGCAGAAGACATGTACAGACACTTCTCAAAAGAAGACATACAAATGGCTCACAGACACGTGAAAAATGTTCATCATCATTAGCCATCAGGGAAATTCAAGCCAACAGAGCTTTTAGCAATATCATGGGCTGAAGAGACAAAACATGGAGTTCTACTTTGCCAAGATAGAATGTGAGAGGTCCAGATCCCTGAAAGTACAGAGGTGCAGAAAAGGCAAACAAATGCATTGCATCTGTTTGTCCACATCCTCCCAGGAGCATTCCTGTTCTTAACCAGCACAGGCCCAAAGACAAAGAAATCAAACAGAAAAGATCTGAAATGCAATTTATCAGAGATTTGTCTGCTAGGGAAATAAAAATTGGAGTTGGAGACCCACATAGGAGGACAAGTTTTAATAAATAGTCCAAGGTATTGGTTGGTGATAGCCTAGTACACCAGAGGCAGACCAATCCTTACAAAGCATGGAGCTCAGCCTCTGACAAAATCAGAGACCTATTCTTATTTTATATCATTGCTGGAGGATAGAGTAAATATCTTCTAAAGGAAAATAGTATCATCTAAAGCCACTACCATGTTTCATTTACAATTTCCAATATTCAAACAAATATTAACAAGCCTACCAAAGATAGAATCAAGAGAAAAATCAAACAATAGAAACAAACCTACAAATGATCCAGATATCAGAGTTATCTGATATAAATTTTAAAATAATCCCAAAAGTATTCTTTGCAGCTTTATTGAGATAAAATTGACATATAACATTGTGTTAGTTTAAGGGGGTATAAAGTGTTGATTTGAAATACTTAACGAAATTGCAAAATGATTACCACCATAGCACTAACTACCATCTCCATCACATCACATAATTACCATCTTTTTTTTTTCTGGTGAGAATATTTAAGATTTGCTCTCTTAGGAACTGTCAACTATATAATACAATATTATTAACTATCACCACGCTGTACATTAGATCTCCAGAACTTATTTGTCTTATAACTAGAGGTTTGTACCCTTTGAGCAGTATCTCCCCATTTCCCCCACCCACCCCCAAACCCTAGAAACCACCATTCTATTCTGTTTCTGTAAGTTTGGCTTTTTTAGATTCCACACATAAGTAATATCATACAGTGTTTGCCTTTCTCTGTCTGACTTATTTCCCTTAGCATAAAGCCCTCAAGACTCATCCATGTTGTTGGAAATGGAAGGATTTCCTTCTTTCTCATGGCTGAATAACATGAATATTCATGTTATTTTATTTTTTTTTAAGATTTTATTTATTTATTCATGAGAGACAGAGAGAGAGAGAGAGAGAGTAGCAGGCTCCCAAGGAGCAGGGAGCCTGATGTGGGACTCGATCCCAGGACCCTGGGATCACGACCTGAGCCAAAGGCAGACGCTTAACCATCTGAGCCACCCAGGCGCCCCTCATGTTATTTTATATATATTATATTATTAATTACAAGAAAATGTAATATATGTATATATATGTATATGTGTGTGTCTGTATTTATCCATTTATCTATTCATCTGTTGACAGACATTTAGGTTGATTCCATGTATTGGCTGCTCTGAGTAATGCTGCAATGAACAGGGACTGCAGATATCTTCTCAAGGGTTTGTTTTTTGGGGGCACCTGGGTGACTCAGTCAGTTAAGCGTCTGCCTTTGGCTCAGGTCATGATCCCAGGACTCTGGTATCGAGCCCCGCATCTGGCTTTCTTGCTCAGTGGGGAGCATACTTCTCCCTCCCCACCCTCTTTCTCTCTCTCTTTCTCTCTCTCTCTCTGAAATAAATAGATAAAATTTTTTTAAGAGTTTTTTTTTCATTCCCTTTGGATATATACTCAACTCCAAAATTTCTGTTTGTTTCTTTTATATGTTTTTATGTATCTTTGTAGAATTTCTTGTTCTGTTCTTGTATTGTTTTCCTGATTTCATTAAATTATCTGTGTTGTCTTGTGGCTATCTTTTGAATAATTATTTTGCATTTTTTTTTTGGTGGGCAGCAAAGCAAGGTTTATTAAATGATAGCACTGATACTATAAAGCTCCCAAAGAGGGAGGGGACCCAAGAGGGCTGCCGTAGAATAATTATTTTGAATTCTGTCAGGCAATTCATGGTTCTGCATTTCTCTGAAGTCAGTTACTGGACGTTTACTTTGTTCCTTTGGTGATGTCTTGTTTCCCTGATTCTTCATGATCCCTGTAGCCTTGGGTAGGTGTCTGCTTCTTTGAAGAAGCAGTCACCTTTTCCAAATTTATGGACTGACTTTGGTAAAGAAAAACCTTCACCTATGGGTGGGGGCATGTTGGAGGCTCCAGGTT